CCCCCGTCTCCCCCTCCCTCCCCGCTGCCCTGCCTGCAGGTTCGAGAAGCTGGACATCACGCCCAAGAGCGCCCAGAAGCTGAAGCCCGTGCTGGAGAAGTGGCTGAGCGAGGCCGAGCTGCGGAACCAGGAAGGGCAGCAGAACCTGATGGAGTTCGTGGGCGGGGAGCCCTCCAAGAAACGCAAGCGCCGCACCTCCTTCACGCCCCAGGCCATCGAGGCCCTCAACGCCTACTTCGAGTCGAGAAGCTGGACATCACGCCCAAGAGCGCCCAGAAGCTGAAGCCCGTGCTGGAGAAGTGGCTGAGCGAGGCCGAGCTGCGGAACCAGGAAGGGCAGCAGAACCTGATGGAGTTCGTGGGCGGGGAGCCCTCCAAGAAACGCAAGCGCCGCACCTCCTTCACGCCCCAGGCCATCGAGGCCCTCAACGCCTACTTCGAGAAGAACGCTCTGCCCACCGGCCAGGAGATCACCGAGATCGCCAAGGAGCTCAACTACGACCGCGAGGTCGTCCGGGTCTGGTTCTGCAACCGCCGGCAGACGCTCAAAAACACTAGCAAACTCAACGTCTTTCAGATCCCCTAGCGGGCAGGTGGGAGGAGAAGGCCCTGCCCGGCCTGCCCCGAGCACTTTGTGACTTACTGGTCCCAAGGGCTTGTCCCTGCCCATCCTCACTCCCCGCCACTAGCCCAGCTCCGCTGACTGCCACCGGGCGCTACTTCCTCCGTCGTGCCCCTCACAGGATCTGACCGTGCACACGTCGGAGGTCGCGCGCCTCGCTCCTTCCTTCTCCCGAGTGTAACCTGTCGTGAGTACCAGAGCTGCCGAGGGGATGTCCCCAGCTCCCTTCCCCCCACGGGGGGGTCGGCGTGGGGCAGGGCACAAGGAGTCCCGTGATCTGTGCATTGCTGTGCCCCACAACCCCGCCAGTAACACGCGCGGCGTTTTTCTTTTCCGGAATTTCCTGTTTCCCCCGGGTGGGCGTCCGCGAAGAGGCAGACGTGAAGCCGGTTCCGTTGCAATCCCTTGTTTATTTCGTGCGCCCGGCTGTCCCGTGTGAGACACGAGTCCTCGGGAGCGAACGGCACCCCGGCAGAGCAGCTTCATTGGCGTCCCGCCGCCTGTGAGCGCAAAGCACGATGCCTGGGGTACGGCGAGCTGCTAGCGTTCGGGGTCGCTGCATCGTTTCAGGAGCGGGTTGCTCCCTTCCTCACCTCGTTTGCCAGCGGAGAACCGGCCGCCCGCGTCCTGATATCTCCCCTGCCCACCGGTGGGAAACGGAAGGCTAAATTGCACTAAATGGGATTGTTTCGTAGGAAGAAATGGTCAGAACAGGCCGGGCCAAGCAAATTCTTCACCAAAGTGACGTCCGTCCGTCTTTTGTTTGCATCGGTTCCTTCTGACGTCAAGCCTGACAGTCTGAGCCTGGCATCGGGGGGGGTCTAAAGGCCGCTGTGGTTTGGGGTGTGGAACCAGCCCTGTTAGCTGGGAGACACAAACTACTCTTAAGTCGTCTCACCTGCAGAGGGGAGTTCTGCTGCGGGAGCCCGAACTAGCCAAGGTTCATTTACCTTCCTGTTGCAGGGTTCTATGCCTGCCTTTCGGGCCTGGCTTTTCTGAAGGGGGAGACCTGGAACATGAAAGAACCGGACTCTTGCTGAGGCCCAAAGGGGGATGGGGACATAGGAGCAGCCCTCCCGGCTGTAAGAGGGGCAGAGCATCTGGCAATTGTCTTGTCAAATTGCCAGCCGGAAGGGGGCCTGCCAGCCCTCCTCCCCGGTGGAAAATGGCCGGGCAAAGGACAGAGAGCGTAGCACAGAGACAAACCAGGCCAGGGATGAGGGTGGGGGAAGGAGCAGCCTTCAGCTTTGAACTACAGCCTTTGAACTACGCACTTTCCCCTCCTTGTGCGGCTCAACAGTCAGGGGACACTCCCGTCTGTTCCGCTACTGCCAGCCTTTTAGAGCACATCCGACGTCCCCTGCAGGAGGCACCTTTGCAAAGTGCTCCCGAGCCCTAGAGGCAGAAGGATGGGGTCCATGCCGGGATCTGTCTTTGTGGGTTCAGTGCAAAAGTGGAATGAGCGGAGAGGAAGGTGTGTTAGTGTCCAGCTGGGAGCAGATGCCAGCTTGTTCCTGTCTGTATTTACTGCACATCTTTCCTGTAAGATGACAATGGGAAACGTCCCGTTTGGTGCTGCTCTTAAAGAGACAGTGCTGGTTGCTCTGGGCCCAAACATTTACTAAACAAAACAAAAAACAAAAAAATCCAAGGCCTAAATTTCAGTCCCAAAGTCGATCATCAGAAAGGGACGGGGAGGTTCTGCTGACCTGCATGTTCATCAAGCAGGTGTCAGACCCCAGCACAATTTCAGCCAGGGGCCCATGTGTGGGTCAGGGAGTGTCAGATAACCCGTTAGGATGCGAATCTGTACCAAGCCCTCTTAGTCCTAGGATGGTTCTGGGTCTGAGCGGTACCCTGATCTCCAGGACTCGTCCCCAGGGGCTGGTTGTTATTCCCATGGAAATCTCAAGGGGGTCCATGGCCACCCCAGGGGTGAGCTTTCTGCTCCAGGAGGCTGGCGCTGGCTGGAGTTCGCTGTCACACACTGCCAGGCCAAATGTTTACGCGTCTCCTTGTTTCGGGGCCAGCCGATCTGGGCAGGACGGGGGCCACGTGCCGTGCGGAGCTTAAAAAAGCTGCTTCTGTTGCACCTTTTTTTATTGGGGCACAATGGAACGCGACTGTCTCTAGCCCAGGACCAGGAACCAGACTCAGCGGGGAAAAGGAGAGAGACCAAGCAGATTACTCGGGTAGGCCTCCTTCCGGCAACAGCGAGGCGATTCTGCACTGCCGTGGAAGTTCTTGGCTCCCTCCGCTTCCCGGCTGGTTATTGTTAGGAGGTTTGGTTGGTCTCCTGCCTTGAGTTGATTCTGCTGCTCCCCACATGCTTCGCTGCCCCCCGAGTCCCGCCCCCTTCCCCATCCCTTCTGCTCAGGCCCCACCCCCACAGCACCAAGAGGAAGTGGGGTGGCCCTCCCTGGCCCCGGAATACTGGGGAGGGTGGGCGCTGGGGGGGGGGGCAGCAACTCTCTGCCCCTCAGTACACCTACAGCAGGCATTCTGGGGGTGGAGTGTGGGCAGTTTGGGAAGGCCGTGCCTCCTCCCACCAAGGGTACCGCCCACCCCTGAATGCTACACTGGCGTTGCCAACTCCCCAGCCCTCTGCCCCGTTCAGAGCAGGGGGCTCAAGAGCTATTTCTGGACCTGTCCAAAGACGGTTTCTTAGAAGGAGGGTTGTGGCTATTTTACTTGTAGGAAGTCTCTTCCTGGAGCTTCTGTCCTTCCACCTCTGTGTGGACTAGCCAGGGGACGGCTGGCAGGCAAATTCCTCCCTAGTAAAGGTGATCCATCTCCCTCCCCTAAGAAATGAGTGTGTCAAGTGATTTCCAGGCGGGGGCAGAGCTGGGAGCAAAAGCAATTTCCTGCCATCCCTTGCAGCAGGATGTGGTTTAGACACTGCCCCGGGTCAATCAGAAGCCGCCATGCTATTGCCAGTCCCGCATCTCCTGGGCTTCCTTTCACACGTGGCCAGCCCTTGTGGGGCGGGCCCTTCCTCCTCGCCCCAGTTAAGTCTCAAGAGAAGCCGGCGGGTGTCACAGAGTGCTGGTGTAAGGGGGGGAAGAGAGGACGGTGTTATAGGGTGGGGAGCCAGGCCGGGGTCTGGCCGTCTTGCTCTGTTAGACTGATGCACTTGATGTAGTTGTGTGAAATAAACAGTATTTTTTCTTTTTTCTTGTTTTCATTTAATGTGGCGTGTGGCTCCCGCACAGTTTGTGTATTTGCAGTCTCAGGGGAGGAGAAAGGGCATGCGGGGATGTGATAGGGTCCCTCCAAGTGAGGGCTGCGTGGAGCAACTTCCAGACATGCGGAGCTGCTTCTGCTGCTACCGATGGTGAGGCTCAGCTCTGCGCAGCTCCGACCACCTGGGCTAGCAGAAGGTATTCCCAATTCAGCCAGCTAGTTGGGCAAGAAACCCATGAATGCTGAGTAAGTCCTCAGCCAATTTACAGAGCCAGTCTTCATTCATTCCTCTAGCCGCGGGTAGAATTCTTCACGGAGTTAGACACAGCCAGTCCCTGGCTTCAGAGTGCACACTGCAAGCGAAAGGCTCTCTAGACCTCATGGATAGTTCTCTGAAAACTTCCACGCAGTGTGCAGCGGCAGTCAAAAAGGCAAATAGGATGCTAGGAATTATTAAAAACGGGATAGAAAATAAGACCCAGAATATCTTACTGCCCCTGTATAAAACTATGGTACGCCCACATCTTGAAAACTGTGTACAGGTGTGGTCTCCTCACCTCAAAAAAGATACTTTGGCCTTAGAAAGGGTTTAGAAAAGGGCAACTAAAATGATTAGGGGTTTGGAACGGGTCCCATAGGAGGAGAGGCTAAAGCGACTGGGACTTTTCAGTTTAGAAAAGAGGAGACTGAGGGGCGATATGATAGAGGTCTATAAAATCATGAGTGGTGTGGAGAGTGTGAATAAAGAAAAGTTATTTATTAGTTCCGACACCAAAAGAAATTAATGGGTAGCAGGTTTTAAACTAATAAAAGAAAGTTCTTCTTCACACAGTGTGTAGTCAACCTGTGGAACTCCTTGCCAGAGGAGGCTGTGAAGGCTAGGACTATAACAGAGTTTAAAGAGAAGCTAGATAATTTAATGGAGGTTAGGTCCATAAAAGGCTATTAGCCAGGGGATAGAAATGGTGTCCCTGGCCTCTCTTTGTCAGAGGCTGGAGATGGATGGCACAAGACAAATCGCTTGATCATTGTCTTCGGTCCACCCCCTCTGGGGCACATGGTGCTGGCCACTGTCGACAGACAGGCTAGATGGACCTTTGGTCTGACCCAGTATGGCCATTCTTATGTTCTTATGACCCGTTCTGCCAGAGTGCAGAACTAGGAGTGGGTGGGCCACAGACTTGTTCTTTTGGATTTGATTGTGAAAATTACCAGGGGACTCTGATTTGGACCATCTCCTCGTAGCTTAGCCAGTAGGCTCCCATCACTGGACACACACACACATATCCGTGCAAGAGAACACCAGAGAGAGGTGTGGTATAACTGGCAGCAGAAACACAGCAAAGAGCCATAGTGCCACAAAGAATCCAAAGGAGAAGTCGTTTCTGAATTAAGAGGCTACAAAGGCAAAATGCTCCTGAATTGCTGTAGCCAAAACAACAAGAAAACAAATAAATGAATGCAGATTTGAGGGTGAAATTTGATCTCCCGGGGCTGAGAAACAGCACAGAGTCTATGCACCTTTGGTTTTATTACATTCACACATTAAGTGGGTGTCGCATTATAAAGCCAGCTTTCTGTGCGTTTAACACCTCATTTACATCAAAAGCAAAGTACAGGACGCTTCCAGCCCACCCGTTAGCCTCATTAGCACCAGCACTATTATATTATTGATAGGCAATTTTCTCCCTGCCACTGACCCTCCACCCAGGGCCATTCTCATGGACAGTGGGTGAACCTCCAGCTAGGGGAAGGCAAGTCCCACCTCCCCCATTCTGGAGCCAAGCCCAGGTTACTGCTCCCAGTCCTCTGAACATGCTAAGACCCCTTAGTCTTATGTTTGGGGCAGGCAATGCAATCCTTTGCCTACGTTACCTCCCCCCCTCCGTGGCCATCCTTACAGTTTATGCTGCCCTAGGTAGAGGAGGGGGGGGACTGCACTTAGGGCCGTGGGAGGGGCAGGAAGGGGAAAGTGCTGCAGCATCCCCACTTTTTCATGGGCTCCCTGTTGCCACCAGCCCCTCCATACACAAAATATGCAGCTGCGTGGGGGCACCAGCCCCAAATTTCATGGCACCGTACACAGCTGTGTGTGACACCTAAGGACAACGCTGCCTCCCTCCCAACCTGTAGCGCACCTATTCTCCCTGTCCCCCCAGGTCTGCACCGCCCTCTGTCCTAACCCAGCCCCCGTGCTCCGGACTGAGACCCCTCCCAATTCATTGCACTTATGAGCC